AGAGGATAGAAAATAACTACAGACTTCTGACATTTAAGGATGACTCCAACTTTGGAACAAAGGCTGGTGCGACTGCTTCTTGCATGAAATACTGCACCACTGAAATGTGTCACGTTCCTGTCATCCTGGACAATGTTGCTCACACATTTGTCAATATACTGATGCAACACATTAATTATTTCAGAAATAGTTTTCATTCTTTCTACAAGTCAATTTCTACAGAGAGACTCTTCTTATGGAGATGAAGCACTGGAATAAAAACAGGAGGTTTATTTAACTGATGTCTTTAGTTTCCTCCCAGTAGTAGAGGCGTTTATTGTTACTTACTGCTTGTTATGTACCACTAGGTTCCTGTTTATGCATCTTTTTCTCCTTGTGTATCATCAGGAAAGCACCATGAATGCCAGAACTACCTCTTGGTATACAGTTTCCACCGAATGTTTTATGAGCACCACCTCTGCATTAGCTGCAGGCACTTCTTTAAAAATCTGCTCTCCTCAAGCTGTGTGGATTTAACAGCTTACAGTTTTTAAGTTCATGCCAACTGAGCCATTTATGTAAATCTCAAAATCAACTGGTGATATGATACAATTTCAGATTGCATGTTGACCCCAAATTCCAAACCTGTGAGGAAAGAAGCTGGGCCTAAATGGCACCTTGTTTCTCAACTGAGTTGAGTTGCTCACCCCTCCTAATTACAGGACCCCTGTTGGTTGGATGGATGGCAGCGCAGGAGCCAATCCTGGAGTGCCTACCAGCACGATGGAGCAGTTTGACATGCCTTTTTGTTTTTAATGATCAAGTGGGCTCCTTAAAAATGTTTCCCTGCCTGTCCGTCCCATACAGGGGAGCAGAGAGGTAGAGGGTTTAGACAGTTCAGACAGCCACAGTGCAGCAAGCCCCCTCTCCCCTTCACGAAGCTCGATCCAGAGAGCTGCTCCTGATCACAGGAGGCCAGAACTTCAACACCTTTGCAGGTAAGGACTGATCTGATGCTGATCTGATGCTGCATGTGCTAAAATTTATGCCTGCAACTCCAATGTAATTGTCTTCGGATGAAAAGTCCTCTGATTTATTCACAAGTGTGAAACTGTAGAAGACAATCTCTCTTTCTGAGCGTAGCAGCTGAAATTTAACAGCCATCCGTGTAGTAATGGAGACGAACAAGCTTTTGGCTGTGTGATTGTTCAGCTCAGTCGCTTTACTTTATATTCTGAAATTCCCAACTAAAGACTTATTTTTCTCAGTAATCCCTGAAAAGCTCTATCACAGCATGTTCCCAATCCTCTCTATTGTCTTGGCAGCAGCCAGTTAAATAAAAGCTCTCTCTTTGTTCCAAGTGCATTGTCTTCTCAGTTCTGTATCTAACAATTTGCTGAAAAACAAGACATAGTCATCAATCCAAGTCTGGATGCATTGTAATATGACAGTATAATGCCAAAAGTTCATACTGTGTTAACCATTCTGAAATCCAGCTCCAACATGATCAGTGAACATTGTTTCTGTCTTTTACCTCAGGAAGCACATAAAACAGAAAATGGCACGGGTTGGACGACCATCGCTTTCCCTGATCCACACGGGATTCCTGTTATCTATTGTTTTATTACCTGGTGAGACTTGATTTACTTGTTTTAGGCTGAAATGTGTTGCATTTAGAGTTTCTCCACAATAACAATAATGCAGCAGTCACACAACTTGAAAATACCATTTAGACTAGTGGTTCCCGACCTCTCCAGTTTTTAAGCCCTTAAAACAAATCCGTGTCTACTTGCAACCCCTGGTCACAGGTTATGCCTTTCACTTTAAAAGTCCAAAGCAAGATGTTTCTTTCTTCATTTGAAGGGATTTTAGAAGCCAGAGGAGGGTAAATAAATATTTCACAGAAGAAAAACAGAAAACATTTGAAAACGGCAGAAAAATAACCATTATTTTGTGTAAAAGAATACATTTAATACATTTAATCATCCTAATTCCTTTGCCTTACAGAACACTTTAGTTAAATGTGTTCGTTTTTGACAGTGATCAGTTCATTTACTGAGATGTACACTTGCTCAAGTATTATATACTTGAGTTGAGTGTGACCTTCTACTTCTAATGCAGTAAAATTCAGAGGAAGATATTGAACATTTTACCTCACTACATTTATCTGACAGATATAGTTTCTAGTTACGCTTATGGTTGGGATTTTACACAGAAAATGCACGATCAGTTTATAAATTTTGACACAGATTAGGCTAAACTAGCCTAATTAAGTAAAATAATTTTGAACAACTACAACATTAAAATGCTACATTCACCTAAATGCATCAGGAACAATATAATAATAATTTAAAATAATAAATTATGCAACAATTTAAAAATCACATGTGATGTTTGCATTACAAATACATTTATTTTTGATACTGTATTTTAATAGCCTGCCATGTTGATTGAACTACTTCACACTCTTTCCAGAGTCATAAAAAGACATCTATGCCTGCTCCTCTGGGAGATTTTCCAAATTAGTAAACTAGACGGACCGGAAGTTTCTGCCATAATAAGCTGACTTGGCTGTTTTCTCATAGTCATAAACTTCTTAAGAAAACTCCTGGTGGAACAGAAGACAGTCCACATGTGGAAACAGAGATGTACACAGACGTGTTCCCTCTCTTCCACCTACTTTTACAGTATATCGGTAATTGGTTTGTGTGCGGGCCCACTCTTTGTAGTTTTACAGGTTAGCTTTAAGGAGGCCCCCAGTAGTTGCACAAACTCTACGGGTCTGGTTCAAAGCCAAACTGAGTGTACATGGGGCTGGGTGGGGGGCTGGAGGAGGAGGAGGGAGTGTTTAATCTGCAGGATGCTGCCTGTACTGGGGCGCCAGAGCCCCAGCACCTGCAGTGTTTCACCCAGGGGCTTATTAGCAGGATAGCGTTTTCCCTGATGTTGAGAGAAAGCTCAACATCTGGTCCTAGTCAGCTAATGTCCCTGCTGCTGCTAATGTGGCTGCTCCTTGTGTTTTACAGAGTTTCTGGGGGCCGTTCCAGTGGAGCAGCACAGGGAGGAGGGAGGTGAGGACCAGTTATGTGACATGTTGGCTTTTCAGTCACTGAGGTCAAAAAAAAAAAAAAAAAACTTATATCACATTAAAAACTTAAATCACAGACATTTAAAAGGGATTATTGACTATTTACATGAACATAATTGATTAATCATTTAAATAAGTTTTCATGGGAAATGGATAATTAGCTGGATCCAGTCTCTCAAATGGGGAAATTTCCTACTTTTTTGACATATTGGGCAAGCTACTTGGAAAATGTATAGAGCTAAGCTACTAGCTGCTCTACATTAAATGAAGCTTCACTACACAGAAGCTACCCCCCAGTGAGATGTAGTAAGCTAAGCTACAGCAACATGGCTAAAGTAGCTTAGTTACATCTAAGCTACTTTAAATTTTTTTATATTTTATAGTTAGGTCATATATATATATATATATATATATATATATATATAGGTTTATATTGAACTAACTTCATTCCACAGTAGCAATAGCAGACTAAAAACCTGTGTGTGTGTGTGTGTGTGCGTGCGGGAGAGGAGCTACATCAGACACACACAGAAACTCTCCTACTTATTGCCATATCATTGCAGCTAAATGTATTTCCTCATGCAACAAACAAAATAACCATTGTTGTTTGTATAAAGTTACTTAATTATCACATCATTAATTAATTATATATTTTTTTATTGTTTATATGTGAATTTGTGCTCTGGCAACATTGCAACCTAAACATTCATGGCAATGGGCGAGAAAGAGAGAGAGAGACAGAGAGAGAGACAGAGAGAGAGAGAGAGAGAGAGATCTCATACATGGAAACAAGTTTCTGTCACTACATATCAAAGTTTCCTCCTCACTAGAGGAAGAGGTGTCCAGGCTGGACCCTGATCCTTCTTACAGGAGGTGTTACAATAACTATCACAATAGAAAGTAAACTCAGTCGCGCGTGTCTTTATTCCCTGCAGCAAAGTCGCAAACATCAGCCCAAGGATCAGTACGTGATGTCACCGTCACACGGAAGCGCTTCTGCCGGCTGCACGTACAGGTCCGTGTGTGACGGTGGCGTCACTTACTGATCCTTCAGAAATGCTGGGGAAAATGTAGCGCGTGTGGAAGCTACCGCGCTACTCGGTCAATAAAAGAGCTTCGTTATAATCACTAGTTGCAGCACTAATCCAATCCAATAACTCTGCCGGGAGTAGGTTTGTGAATGCTATATTGTTATTTTTTTATTGGCTGTGTCTCAGAGAGGAGTTGATCCGTTTTGGCTTCAGTTTGTGGTGTTGTAGTATTGGATTGCTTTATATGATTTTTAACTTGTTCCTGTTGTTCATCTATTTAAATCAAATATCAAGGAACATCTTGTCCAACTTATCCACGAACAAAAACTAGAACAGGAACAAAAACTGCAAGGCAATGTTCTGAACACATACTGTATATAAAGCTAAACACAAACAAGCTCAGCCCATTTATCTTTAACATCAAAAGATTATATCTATCAAAATTGCTAATTGACCCTTTTACACTCCATTACACGTTTTTAGTCAGTGAGCTTTAGAGGTGTAGATTATGTTACCTCTGGACAGAGGCATCTAATTGCTGACAGGAAAGCATGTAAATGCATTTCTAAAAATGTTAGAACTAGTCCTTTAATAACTTAAAAAATATTTACTAATTATAGGATGTTGCAGTTGATTTTTACAGAAGGTTTATTGACTTACAGTAAAAATAACTATTGAAACATGTAAAATAACGTGACCAAATAAAAACATTAATTCTAAACAATATTCCGTATAAAATACAATTCTGTCAACACATAAATAAAAGTCTGTCTGAGGATAAAAAATACACATCTTATACACTCAACAAATGGAAACATTTCTATTCAGTCTTCCAACATCACTTGTAAAATTCTGGCACCAGCACACTCTTCATTTAGGTCACTTTCTCCCCCCTCAGTGCCTGCAGTGTCTGACAACATGAAAGCCGAGGCCACGGCGAGCCTGAAGAATCTGGTTCGCAACAGAAGGAACCTCCCCGTCTTGCATGTGCCGCAGTTCAAACGCCTGCCGGACTTCTGGGGATGGTACAAGTACTTCACGGAGACCCACAACCAGGAGGGAGTGAGTGGAGTTTGTTTCACATTGATTACTCAGTTTCTCCCAGTCAGAAGTGCAACTTTTATAAATGAGGCCACAATTTGAGGCTTTTTAATCTTAGATGCACTGAACATTTTAGGCCTAAAAAGACACATTTAAGCAGCTTTTTGATGTAATTTTATCTGGTTCTTTAAGTATTTCACAGCAATTAATTCTTTAATGCACAGACCATGATGATATAAAAGTATTAATATGCATCTTAATATGCTAAGTCACTCTTCAATGCAAATTATTTTCCAGCATGTATTCTTAGCACCAGTGAGAGCTCTGGGGTTTAAGAGTGAGGCTGTTTGGTTTGAGTAACAAGACTGACAAAAGTACATGCATTCCTGCTCAGAGGATTTGTGTGAATGTGTTCATTTAACCAGTTCATTGTTCAAATTCTCTTGTTTTTAGTTTAGTATTAATCTGTGCGGCACATAAATCATACTGAATTAGAGTACATTTATTCATTTTGTCCCCTTTTCACCCTGTATTTCAGGTTGAGGATATGGATCGTCTGTACTTGGCCTACCTGCAGAACAAGCACAGGTCAGAGGAGGGCCCGACCTTCAACCACTACCTCAAGCACCTCAGTGAAATCTACAAGACTTGTGCCAATTCTGATGATCCAGAGTGCATCTCGGAGTTCACCAGCAAGCCAAAGGCTGCAGTGGTGATGCCCGCCCCCATCAAGTCGGCTGCTGTCAGGATGTGCAACCCTTACATCGACCCCTATTGCCTCTTCCCCCTTGTCCCTAGGGCTGCTGCCCCGGAGCCTGAGCCAGCTCCAGCCAAGGTGCCAGCCCCTATTTTCACCCCCATGCTACCCATGCCTATGAAGAGCCCCACTGGCTTCTACTACTATGCCCCCATCCTGGAGCCCTTCCTGAGTCCTGAGCAGAGGACTGAGCTGCTCAGGATCTGCAACCCTGAAGATGTGGAGTGTCTGCAGTATCACCTGAGGGCAGCTTATGGCTATCGCCCAGCCCCTGGCCCAGCCCCATCCTACGCCGCCCTCAAATGTGACCCCAAGGACCCCTACTGCATGCCCCCTCTGGTCCAGAAAGCCCCCACCGGCTTCTACCACCTGCTCTACCCCAGCTGTGACCCAGCAGTTGATCCTCTGTGTGTGACCAATGTCGCTGCTCCTGCTGCAGTGGGGGCCCCTAAAGAGCAACACTGCAACCCTCTCTTTGACGCTGACTGCAACCCTCTGACTGCCACCAAGCTGTCCGGCCTCACCAAGCCCGTGCTGGAGTACTCCCCCAAGGATGAGCCTTCACCTCCTGCTGCTCCTCTGACCTGCGACCCTGCCTATGACCCATACTGCATACTGGCAGCCGCCGCTGCCCTGCGCAGGCCCGCACCACAGATCCCCGAACACCAGGTCTGAATTTGAAGTCCTGCTACTAGGATTAAATTGTTCATTGTTTTGACTAATCTAGTTTAATCTTGCTTGTTGAATTGTTTTATTACTCGTCTGTTCCTTTCCATTTGGTTTATTAAATGATGTAGTGAAATTAAATGGGTGTTGCATAATGCTTTCACTTCGTTCTGCTTTGCATCTGTTTTGAACAAAAACACAAATCAATCAATCAACCAGGTCCGCTACAAACTTGGCGTCCGTGGCAAGACCAAGGAGGGCTACGACTGCTATGTGCACTATGACAAAGACTGCACCCCGGTGAAGTCTGGCCCTGAGGCCAAGGCCGACATCAAGGCGCCAGCAAAGACCTTCTGCCATCCGTTCGACCCCAACTGCGGCAAGTTTTCTTCCCCCGGTGGTGTAGTGGCTCCAGGGACCAGCAAGGATGGCATAATCCTGCCCGACCCCGACTGCGACCCAGAGTTCGACTACAACTGCCGCCTGCGACGCGCTCAGCCCGCCGCTGTAGCTGATGAGCCCGCCGCTGCCGAGGAGAAAGCTGCTGATGAGCCCGCCAAGGAGGCCTCTGTTCCACGCTTTGAAGACTTCCTCAGGGGTGTCATGAGCCAGCACAAGTAGATTTCAGAAATAACATGACAACCGAATCAACACCTGCCAGATAATCTACCTGGCAGAGCTCACTCTGTATATGCCTAATCTTCATGGACTTCATTGACCACAAAACAATCACACACAAAAACATTCAGAAAAAATCTCTGCTTTTAAATAGTGAATCTGATTTTCTTAGATAACCTAAGGGTCTCCTAAAGGACCAAGCAACATAGATATATATGTGAAATTTGTGGATTAAACACTTCATGCGTGTTTTTTTGTAGAAAAGAGTCGTATGTATAGATGTGTAATAGAGTAGGGGTAGTTTGAATTTGTGTGGGCAAGAATTTCTCTCTGTTGTACATTCTCTTTTTCCATTTGAGTTACCCTAAGTGTATTTAATGTTGTTTTTCACATTTGTTTTTCTGTAACTCTAAACCTAGTAATGCTTCATCTCTTTAGGTTTTATAAAGTCCTAAATAAAAAAAACGATTTTGAAAAACTTTACTTTCTAGAAGTTAAAACATCCTCACACTGAGATCACAGACACATCTGCTGGCTATTTGAAGATAAAAAGTCTGTAAGTATCCAACACATATTTTGAATGTTTTTGTTACCATCTCATAGGGAGCCTTCTCTGTGAGTGCACACAGCACTTCAGCCCACCAGTCCCCAGCTGTTGCTGTAACGTGCAACATGTAGATGAGTCTCACTGTGCCAGTTATTATGTTTTACCTGCACCAGTTTATGCTCCACCATTATGAAAATAGCTTATTGTTGCTAAAACTGCACATTTTATAGTCATAATTACCAGAAATATCTGTTTTCAGTATGTCCCACTACAAGACCCCTAATCAATTAAAGATGCATTGATAAAGTTTTTTAAGGCAACCCTTCTAATTTTCAGCATTTTGCCTTTATTTAAAGGAGCAGTGGTAGTAGAGCTATAGACAGGAAAAGCAGGTAGAGAGAGAGGGATGACACGTTATGAGGTTACCTGGTCAGAGTCGAGATGGGGACATTGTGGTTGTATGTGTGTCTTAACCACCTGGCTACCTGTTGCGCCCAATTGACTTTTACCAAACATTTTATTTTTCCTTGGATAAAGGGTAACTTCAAGGGCTAGTACACCAAATCACTAAAACCCTACTGCTATCTAGCCACGCAGAGAGATTCAGTTGAATTATTTATTTTTTTATTTAATAGCAAAGGCATACTCAGGGAACATGGTAAAGGTTTTCTGTACAGGATTGTCACCTCCCGCCCTCACACAGACTTACACACACCTGTTTTTGTAAGTTGTGAGTTGTGATTTTCTGGAAGCTAAAACTAACCGCTAACCTTGATTAAAAACCAAGTGTTATCCCTAAAATAAATGGTAATCCAGATTCAAGGCCCTACAAAGTGACTGTGAGTCAGTACAGTCTCAAACACACAGTGCAGTTCACACACTAGAGATGTTTATGGTAAGCACAGTCGTGTATGAGTAGGAGGATTCTCTGTCAGTGCTGAATCTCAGTTTAAAAGCTGATTACAACAAAGATGAAACAGAGTGTACACAGTTCAGTCTTTGGTTGATGAATAAAGGTACTTTTTACAACCTTTATTAAAAAAAATCCTGAATGTTGAACTGTGGTATGTTCTCTGCCAAAGCTGAAATGTTGTATTTTAGAAATGAACTGCAGCCATCGGCTGTGGACTGCAGTCTGCTTTTCAATAACCAACTTTCCAGCAGCTCCAACGCACAGCAGTCGCCTCAAGGAGATGAACGCTGCTGCTGCTGACAGTTTTAAAGGCAGATAACACACAGCCGGGCCCAGTAATGACTACTTGGACACAACATGCACTCAAGAAAGCCCCATGGAGGTATGTTCCTAATTGCAGCTGTTGTCTTGTAAAGTTTGGACTTGTGCTGAGTTCTCCTGTCATCCTAGAATAAAAACTGTATGAAGCAAGACAGACAGTCAGGATTATCATGCAGAGCATTTTACACTGACAGTTCTGAGGTGCGCGTAGGCTCTTAAGCATCTTAAGCAAGTCTTCTAACCATATCAGTCCCAGCAGAACGCCGGCATCCCACCCACTGTTTAAGTGAGGCTTGCAAACGAACCAATTGGTCTGTCTTGCTGTCAATCAACATAATAATTGCCCTGGTCCTTATGAACAAAATGAACTTGGTTGTAACTCCTTTTTACATGTTATTATAACAATCCAAGCAACATTTGCGTCCTAATGGTTGTACAGAGTTTGCTAAATAGCTGGGTATGTTATTTATCGGTTTGATGCTTGAGTGAATTATTGACCCTTCACCCCATGAACTTGAGACATGGTTTGATTTGAGTAAAACCTGAGTAAAAGTCACTTTGAGTAAATCTTTGTTGTTACGATTTATCAATTTTTGCCTCGTTTGTTTATTAGATAGTTACTAATACTATAGCCTACAAGTAAAGCAAGTTGTTACAGATATAAATGCAGGCAAAGTTTTAACAGTTTCTTTGGTACATTTCTCAGATCAGAAGTGAAATTCTCAAAACTACTTGTTCAACCTCCTCATCATCTAGTCACACGTCATAAAAGCAATTGCTCATTCTTTTGAGCAAATTGCAAATGATTCTGACACATTCATGAAAGTGGTTATGTAGAATTGTCTGCTTTTTTCTGCATTATCAATTGCTTATGTCAAGTTAATCACAATGTATTACCTTTTTTTATAAATATTTCCTGAATTGATGAAGATATCCGTTATAGTGTGGATGACAATCTGTAACCCGGGGCTGTTTCCCAAGTTTGCATTTCTAATTTTGTAATTTTTTCCTGTCGTGCTATGCAGTGCTGTAAAACAGTGTTTTTTCTTTTCTGTATTACAAAGACATGCTCTGTCAACAAATTACAGTACAAACAGTAAAGGCGCAACTGTGAATCCTGTCCAGTCATTTGCAATCAATCTCCCACATGCAGTAATGTGTATCTTTGTACTGTCAAAATTGATAGTTCCATACAGAAAAGTGCAGCTGTGTGCATTTTCAATCATTGTCATCCAAACCTTTGCCATATTTTGCATAAGAAAATACTTACAGAGTACACTGTTATATGGACAACATGGTGAAACATTTGGAGTATCTTGCAAGCAATGACACAAGGACTTGTCATTCTGATCGCACAGAAATATTTACTAACAGAAATATTTACCTTTGAGAGATAGCCTAAGGATTTAGAGCAAGTTACAGGCTTTTGCAGGTAATCCACTGTGTTGTGCTGTTTGTGCATTCTGTTTTGAGAAATCCTCTTAATGTTTTCCAAATGTTAAGGATTATTAGAGAAATGTACCAAAGCGACTGTAATAAAGTGTTTTTTTATTTTAAGAGGCATAGAATAGTGTAATGCTATTGTAACTGAGCAGTTCGCCCAAGTGTATGAACTTAATAAGTAAACAATAAATTGAATGGTAAGTTTAAACTTATGAATTTAAACATAATTATTTATTTAGAACATTTTCTTCTAACACACCACACAAAATGAACCCCCTCCTTCTTCCCTCCCAAACACAAAAGAGTTGAATCTCACTCAATTTTCCCTCCCAGCTCCCTTACAGTTAAGATGGTGACAAATATAATAAGAACAGGGATTTATTCATATGGTAATTTGCCTAACTTTAATGTATCTTTGGGTATGGAATCAAACTGCAGATGCGCCGGTTCAAGATGAGACCAAACTTTTCATGACAAAGGCCAAAATGTGGCCTTTTGCTATGTTGTAATGCATAATGTAAAATGGTGAATACTGCTGAAAACTTGACAATAGGGTCAGTCATTAAAAAACTATTGTTTTTTTTCTTCAAATGTGAATCACTGCAACCACAAGAGGTCCTTGAGCACACAATCACAAATGTGGACATAAACATTAGGCTGATGGGTCCAGTAGCATGCGAGGTTAGCTACGGACAGATAAAAGAGGCACATAATGAGGAGTATGAGAAAGTGAAAGTGTCAATTTTGAAGAAAATACAGTCAAATCTGCTATTTGAATAAGATAATGTCAGAATATATTCCATTTTTAAAGGAAACTTTCCAATCAAGTCTCACATTTTTTTATGTCTTCACTCTGCCTCGATCCAATGAGCGAATTTCTTGAAAATGTCTTAAACCAAGTAAAAATCAGCTGGAAACAAGATAAAGTTAGAAATGTTTCCACTTTGCTCGGGGTGGTAGACCTCATGTTTACATGCACCTTCCACCAGGTGGCGCTGATCTCCCAGAGCTCCATATTGTGAGGCTATCAGTGCTTCAGTTTTTTCAGTCTGTACCTGCTGTCACAACTGTCAGTACATGAATGTCTGTCTCCATCACACTCTGGCTTTCGTAGCCATTTGAATAAAAGTTAGACACACAGAAATGTTGTTTGAAGACAAAACATTTTAGCTTGTAAAACCCGTAAAACATGAAGTACACAATTCATTTTAATTGAGCCATCTAAGCAACCTTGATTGTGTCAGTCGGACTGTATCCTGTGCCATACAAGTATAAAATTTTTTTTTAATCCAGACTATACAGATCAATTTATCCAAGATTAAAGTTTGATATCTTTAGGTGAGACATGTAAAAGCTGCATAATGTGTCGTTGTTCAAAATTGAATTTCATCAAAGGTTGTCTAGGGGGAGCTGAGATCAAACCGTGTGAGGAGGAGAAAAAGAAAAATGTTTGGAATCAATTTCACGCCTCTGTGAAGAATAATTGCTGTGGATTTTAAACATTATGATATTAAGATAAGCGCCTTTCAGCTTGTCACAGCGGAACACATTTAGTCTACTGGTTTATCACGGCTGCCTGTTTTGTGTTAATTACTAAATAACTGATGAATTTATCTGCCGTGAAAACCCTCTTCCCTCCTGCTCCTGTCTGCGACTGTGCAACACAGACAGATAGATAGATAGATAGATAGATATATAGATTGATAGATAGATCGATAGATAGATCAATAGATAGATAGATAGATAGATCGATAGATATAGATAGATAGATAGATCGATCGATAGATAGATAGATAGATCGATAGATAGATAGATAAATCGATAAATCGATAGATAGTTAGATAGATAGATAGATATAGATAGATAGATCGATAGATCGATAGATCGATAGATCGATAGATAGATAGATAGATCAATAGATAGATAAATCGATAGATAGATAGATAGATAGATAGATAGATAGATAGAAAGATATAGATAGATAGATCGATAGATAGATCGATCGATCGATCGATAGATAGATAGATAGATAGATCGATAGATAGATAGATAAATCGATAAATCGATAGATAGTTAGATAGATAGATAGATATAGATAGATAGATAGAAAGATAGATAAATCGATAGATAGATAGATAGATAGATAGATAGATAGATAGATAGATAGATAGATAGATCGATAGATCG